GAGGAGATACCATCGAAACGGGTTTAGAAGAGTTCCTTGGGAGAATCGATCGTTAGGAAATGCAAGCCATGGTTAGATGAATTCCTGGATATTCTATCTTAATAAAAGTGATGAATTCATTCACTAGGGTCAAGGTAAGCTGAGGTTCCACTGCCTCGGCATGCCGAGCCGAGCGATTCGGGAACTTCTCCATGTATAATGGAATGAAGATCCGACTATCCTGCCTGAGCTCGGGAGCTTCCTCACTACATTATATGACGCGGACTCCGGTAGAAACCAATAAGCATTTTTAGGATTAGATAACTCAACAAGAGCTATTAACAAATGGTTCTTACCTTATGATCAATACGGTAGTCATAAAGTATACGCTAGGCTAGCAAGGGAGACAAGTATCACAAGAATGAAAAATTACAGGAGACACTTGTGTACAACATTTCCTCACAAGCATCTCCCTAATTTCCCATCTTGTCACACACATGTAGTTGACCATGTGCATATTTTACCACACTGCTGCTCACTCTAATGGGAGAAGTATCATCAACAACTCGCAGTTCTCAACCATTAATAACACATTACTCGTAGTAGCATCAGAAACGCCTCTCAGAAACTAGCATGCCAACCAGCAGCGAAACACAGGTGAGCCAGAGTCTTCGCAACGAGAGACATATAAGCGGTATCAGCATTAAGACCGTTGAGCAAGTTGGCTTTGATCCTCATAGCACACTGCGTGAAGTCTTTTGCTGTGGGGTAGACTCCCCACGCGAAACAGAGTAACATCACTTGCGCATGGAGTTGAGGGGCATCCCGCAGCGATCGGAACAGAGAAAGTAGCCCGGCACTTGTTCGTCGACTAGGCCTCACTGCATGCGTACGCAGAACCCAACAAGAAGCCATGAATGCGTCAACGAGAGCCGGGCTAGCACTAGGGCCAAAGGGAACTATTTTCTCCACTAATCGCTCCAGCACAGGGAGCTCCTTAGCAGCGCAAGATGAGGAGCTCCCGATAGCCGCGGCCAACCGCGCGACTTCCTCTGGGGTCCACCGTCCCAGTCGTGGAGGAGCAACAACATACCACTCCTTTTCCAAATCCTCACTGTAACTCATGGTCGTTTCCGAGAGAGCAGTAGTGAGCCGACACAGTGCTTTCACACTGAACCCACCACAGGAGGCCAGCGAGACTATGTGCTCTCGGAAGTATAATACTGCATTTAGTGATGCCGCGTTGCTCCTAGGAAGGAGAGTGCACCCCCATAGCAGTTGGGCCACGTCCCGAGGCGAGAACAACTCGTGTGGGATTTCCCTCTGATGAACAGACGCATTCTCGTCGAGTTTTCCCTTTTTTTCAAACTCACCATTTGTGGGAAAATTTCAGATTGTATAAAACTTTCAGCTTTCAGTCGTATCTCTTCCGAGAGGAGCCCTTCTTCGTGTGCCTCCCCGATGCTATACATCAACTTTGCGAGCTCTGGTGCAGCTAAGGTCGGAAGGTGGAGGGCCTGACGAGAACTCACTCGTTCTGTTTCAACTGATACATATGTATACACTATAACATCACAGCTAATCGATGCTGATATCCACATGAATTCATGAATTACTTCCTTACTGTGTGCCCAAGACACAGTACAAAGCTCATACTGTGCGATACGTACACTAGGGAACTTTCCGGAGTGTCTAGAGACTCTGCTAGTAACGCCCTCGTGCCACAACAGTTTTCGAGAAAACTATTGTGTTACATTTGCGTTATCGCAAGGAAACTTTTCAAGAACACAAAAGTTGTCGACATCACGAATGATTTCGAGAACTTGTTGTATATGACGATCGATGTATTGCTCGCATTTAATAGATTTGTGCCATCATCGCTCGCCAAGATATCCGCATGAATATCCGAAAGCGTCGACCTCAATGCTTGATTCGGTTGGATTAATTACACTCCGTCAACTCGGTCCTCTGTGAGCTTGCGTTGTCTACTACGGGTCTAACAACTATACCAAAATTTCGCTTTCTTGCGAGTGTACGAATTATTACTCGTCTCCACATCGAGTGATCCAGATAGTCGATCTCCGACTATCACAATTTACTACGACACAAATATTAATACTTAGCGAATTTCGATACCCCTGGTGCAGACTGGGAAGGACTCGGGAAATTGACGCTCCCCGTGTCTGCAGTAGAGCTATAGCACAAAGTATGAGCGGATAATTGTCATTAGTGGAGGTTCACCAAATTTTCCACACTTCACATCGCGGAAAACGTTTATAAACAGTGAATACCACGAAAAACACGTGATGTGTTCTACGTGAAACGGGGTGATCTGTCCGGCGTAATTCGCCGAGTATTCGTTTTTCACATAGAGTATAACGCCACTTCACGTAAAAGTCCAGTGCATCAGCCTGAACCCGTTTTACGTGAAGTGCTGCAATTCTCTGTGAAAAACGCGATATTCGCGGTACGCAGTAGTCGTGAAATATATTTTTCACTAGTCTTTTTCATATCACTAGGGTGAAACTCTAGTGCATCAGCTTGCACAACACAAACAGGATGGAACTTATCCATTCACACGAACTTACCATATACTCAATCATCACTCTCAATAATTCCTTCCTCTCAACGAGGCCACGACTTCTCCCTCCAGGCTGGCATATAGCAGCTAAGATGCTCGACAGCTCCTGGCCATTGAATGGCGTCTCCAAGCGGTCTTCCTTCAAAACTGCAGTAGTGTACCGATACAGGGACTTACTGGTGAAGTCTGCATCAGCACATGCCGTTAGAACGTTAGCAATGTACTGAAGGAAAAGGGAACGAAATGAGCCGATCTAACTGCTGTAGTTGCCCTCGATGAACTAGTTGTCAATATGAATGTTGTACGAATTATGTAGTATTTCGTAATTACTTCGTAACAAAGAGGCAAAGCTCGCTTGGTCCACGTTTGTTGACTCAATCAATGAATTTCACCTAGGTCCCCAGTTCGATTCCCGGGCTGGAGATTTTGCCGTCATATCGAAAGTTTTCGTGCATATCTCTTCGAGGAAAATCGAATTTTTCGATTTTTGCACGAACCTCAGCATATAGAGGAGCCGTTTGATCTGATGGCTATCTGATGGTCGCTCAAGCTTAGTAGTTGAGGCAGAGAGTTATTCTGCACGCATGCACAAAGCGGAAGGGCCTATTGTTGTGGTACATGTATTCTCCGCTCGCTCCGTAACTTTCACTGGTAATTTTTCGAACCTCCAGCACGAAAACAACCGACTTTCACGTGGATCAATTTGTGGAATATATTTCTCATTAGTGCTCCTCCTATCACAAGTAAAACTCCAATGTGTTTCAAAACTCATCAGGGCTCGGACGTCTATCCGAATTTGAATATTAAAGCACTGCTTCGCTTCGCGAATTATAGCGCTCGTGCTGTCTCACTAGAAGCCAACAAAGAGCGAGAATTATTCACAGTGTGAAAAGGCCTTACCTGCGGATTAACATCGTTTTGAGTGAGATGCCGCAAAACACAGGCATGCACTCGATTCATTTCCACCGACCGGAACAACTGCCGACACTCAGGACGTAGACGCGATAAACGATGGAGACCTGTGGCGATGTTTTTGGAGGTAGCCTAAGAATAGTAGCAACATCAACACTAAAGTCTACGTCTTCAACACTCAATGAAACCGTTTGTCTCTTGAATGGAGAGTCGACTAGAACAGTTCACGTCATAGTTTATCAATACAGTGCGAGAGTAACACTTCCTCGTGTAACAATTATAGTACTCAAGGAGCTACTATATGCGCTAGAGAACAGTGCGCTGTGTATACTAACAGCAACCAGTGTTGCAGTAGGAATATATGTTCGTTTTCCTCACCTGAGCTCAGGAGTTTCCAGAGCTAATTATACGATTTGAGGCGTACAGAAACCAACAAGAATTTCTCAAGATTTTCTCCGCTGTGTATATTTTCTGACCACTCTGGAGACGCCTCTCCACCGAGCATCAACTCACTTCCAGTCGGTGTCTCAAAAGAACCTCCACAATGACGTTGGCAGAGCGGCTGTTATACGCTGCATGTATCGCTCGTTGAATACTATCACTCTGTGAGGTTAGCGACATCTAACAACTCCCGCAAATCAAGTAGAGAAACTCAGAGCGAAAAAATTTGTTGCGATATTTGTTTGGTGAGATATGAATTTTCCAATCATATGCCAAGGTAAAGTAATCCCGATGTACGTGTTGACTTCGCGGTGTCTTCAAAGCAAAGGTGAATGAGAAAAATGATCGATTCGTTACACCAGTGATTTGCCGATTAAGATAACACCACACTGAATATTACACTAGGGGAATGCTCTAGAAAGAGAGCCTGATTACACCAAGTCGTTAGGCTTAGCTAAGCGCTTCCTACATGTAAGATGCTGCTGCATGATTGTCGCTGACCTATTCACCGTAGCACACAATATGTCTCTCTAGGCTGAAGGATTTCCTTAGCTAAGCTTATGATGAAGATAGTCTTCGTCTAAGGCTAAGTATGATCAGGCCTTGTAAGGCACTCTCGTGCTGCAATTATATCCAGTGTAGTGTTATCTCAATAAGCAAATCATTTACATACACTCTCAGATAGGGACACATTGTGTGCTACAGGGGATTGCGACAGCGACACCGATGATGTACCAGCATCTTTCACCACCTATTAGAATATAGTAGACGCCATCGACATTAAGAGTAGTGTCGTCTCTAATGGAGACACTATTCACCACTACTCTGTATTCAGGCTACAGTACTCGCCATCTAGAGACCAAAAATACGTGTGTAGAGGTAACTGCAATATAATGGAGTTTCACCCTAGTGATATGGAAAACACTAGTAGAAAATATATTTCACGATCGTGAAATGTCACATCGCCTCCACCCGTCGTTTAACACAACAATAAAAGAACAGTGAAAACTCACTCTCTCTAATGCCGACAAAACTCATACAGTTCTGCTATTGTTCACGCGCTAGTGATATTATTCACCGTGGTCAGCTCTTCCACTGGCATACCGTCAAGCACATACCTAAAAACAAATCCTCTATCACAATATTCGCACTACTCTATTTAACGACTGAAAGTAGAATGGGATACATAGTAAGGGTGAAATTTTTTTGTGGAAATTTTTTTCGACAATTTGATACATACACATATTGTCAATATATACACAACTACATACAAAATTTCAATTGATAAGACAAAACGGACTCTCCAGATTGCGCTCACTGAGGCTATATACATATTCGAGTTAATAGCAATACACTAGTTAAGGTGATGTAGTTATTACTAAGCATTGTGTATTGGGAGACAGTGGTCTGTTGTACCCGAGGAGTAGAGTAGAATAGGATACATAGAAAACGGTCGCTATATACAGATTCGAGTCAATAGCAACACATTTGCTATGTAGCTGTCACTAATGATCGTGTTTCGAGACGGTGTAAACTTCGCAACTCACCTTATACGCAATTTCATCATAATAGGTTTTGCAGGCTCAGATGCTTGTGTCACCGTCAGCTTCTGTGTCACCACCGTATCGGGCTGAACCACTGGCGATGTGGCTGGTTGCAAAGTTAACTTCAGATATCTAGTGAGAGCAACATATCTCATTACAGTGTAGGAAATATGCACAGCTCTGACGATATGGAAATTGTGAGAAAATCTTGGGAAATTGTTATTGGTTTCTGTACACTTCTACCCTATAATCTGGGCACATCTATAACCGAGAAAACTCCTAAGATCAGCTGAGGGAACCAAACGCTTCACCCCACCGGCCTACTTTGGAACTGCCGCCTCCAGAACAAAGTCCGACAACACTCTTTGGTGAGAGTGGAAACTCGCAGTAATATCAACACCGTTGGACTTTGAAGCTACCGCGAAGTCAACACGTACATCAGGATTACTATACCTTGCATATGAATCAGAAAATTCACAACAGATTTTCCTCTCCCACAGAAAGTGAACTTTGACAGGAGTCAACAATTTTCACAATAATTGAGAAATCGAAGTACAAATCTCCGTCAGATTGATTCCTCAGCGCCCCCCCCGTCAGTGTGGGAAAATATGCACGTGTTGGTGACAATATGAAAATTCTGAGGAAATTTTCGGGAATTCTCATTAGTTTCTCTACACTTTCTGCCGGAATTTGTACATTAATTAGTGAGAAAACTCCTGAGCTCAGGTGAGGAAAGCGATTACATATATTCCTACTCCAGCACTGTATAGGAAACTCCTGAGCTCAGGTGAGGAAAGCGATTACATATATTCCTACTCCAGCACTGTATAGGAAACTCCTGAGCTCAGGTGAGGAAAGCGATTACATATATTCCTACTCCAGCACTGTATAGGAAACTCCTGAGCTCAGGTGAGGAAAGCGATTACATATATTCCTACTCCAGCACTGTATAGGAAACTCCTGAGCTCAGGTGAGGAAAGCGATTACATATATTCCTACTCCAACACTGTATAGGAAACTCCTGAGCTCAGGTGAGGAAAGCGATTACATATATTCCTACTCCAACACTGTATAGGAAACTCCTGAGCTCAGGTGAGGAAAGCGATTACATATATTCCTACTCCAGCACTGTATAGGAAACTCCTGAGCTCAGGTGAGGAAAGCGATTACATATATTCCTACTCCAGCACTGTATAGGAAACTCCTGAGCTCAGGTGAGGAAAGCGATTACATATATTCCTACTCCAGCACTGTATAGGAAACTCCTGAGCTCAGGTGAGGAAAGCGATTACATATATTCCTACTCCAACACTGTATAGGAAACTCCTGAGCTCAGGTGAGGAAAGCGATTACATATATTCCTACTCCAACACTGTATAGGAAACTCCTGAGCTCAGGTGAGGAAAGCGATTACATATATTCCTACTCCAGCACTGTATAGGAAACTCCTGAGCTCAGGTGAGGAAAGCGATTACATATATTCCTACTCCAGCACTGTATAGGAAACTCCTGAGCTCAGGTGAGGAAAGCGATTACATATATTCCTACTCCAGCACTGTATAGGAAACTCCTGAGCTCAGCTGAGGAAAGCGATTACATATATTCCTACTCCAACACTACACCCCTTACACTGTTATCGTCCTCGCCTGAGCACCTGTACTGAACACGTCCACTAACCCGCCACCTTGTGCCGGTTTCTTCGTACCAGAAGAGCTCATAGAAAACCCCAGAGATCCCAATCCCAAGCCACCTACAGTACGGGTCAATTTAATATGCAAATGTGTGTTATTTTGTAGGACAAATGATAGTGAACAAGTTGTCGCTATCATCACAGTCCCAAACGGGTACTCTCATCATCACAACACATGTTCATAGCCATCGTTACATTGCAAATCGATTCTCATTAATCTCACATCACATTTGCATCGACACGCAGTGTATAGCAAATAAACCACAGACTTCCAAGACCAAACACCTACTGAATGGATCTGCCGTTTTCTCCTCCCTTTTCTCCACTGCTGCTACAGTAGGTGCAGCCACAACAGGCGGAGGCATGCCAAGGATAGAGTCGAGATCATCGAGGAGGTTACCACTTGGCTGCTGCCCTGTTGCCGTTGATGATACTTCTCCCATGTGACCTGTTGGTCCTGACGAAATGATTATCATTTAATGGAGTTTCACGACTACCCGTTTTACGTGAAGTGGCGTCGTAAAACTCGATGAAAAACGCGATATTCGCGGTGATATACAGTAGTCGTGAAATATGTTTTTCACTGGTGTTTTTCATATCACTAGGGTTGTGAAACTCCAATATATAATCAATAGTAAACACCAACATTGGAGTTTCACCCGTACAACGCGCTTTCCACCAGTGTTTTTCATACCACCGGTGACACTCCGCTGAAGACTGTCACCAAAGCCCACCCACCTTGTCCATCCCCGAGCTCCAACGAGCCGATCAAATCCTCCTCATATGAGTTCACCCCAGCATCTGCATCATAATACCCTCCCACAGGCGACCTCTCACTAGGGAGCTTCGTCACTGCCGGAACCTTGACAAGCAATCCGGTAGATTTTCATTTCGCGCGCGCCCTAAAATTCATCGCCAGTCACTTATCGTCCACCTCGTCAATTGTGATTTCCCCAACCGGTAAATCCCTCGTCGGCTCTTCCCCTGTAAAGGGCGGTATTTTTTCTGTCAGTTCACTTCTCATGTCTTTGCTCGCCAACGACAACAGTGCCATGTACCTTCGGAATAATTCACCCAATTTCACATAACCGGACGATTATACCCAACACCGCAGTTCTACCAGCGT